CACATTCTATTCCAATAATCAAACACATGAAGAAAAAAATATATCAATTTGTTTTGTTCCTCTAATAAAATGAAGAAAAGTGAATATTAGACTGTTCAAAAAAATAATAGCAGTGTTTGTATTCTTCTTTACAAACTCAAACATTCACTATGAGTAAACTGAAAAATGTTTGAAGATTTTTGCTTTCCTTTGAATCACTTAATGAATATTTAGTTGTATAAGCACTGTTTTCTGAGAGAACTGCTGTACATCTGTGTTGCATGGAGTCAACCAACTTCTTCTGGCACCTGTTGAACAGGTATTCCAGCCAGGATGATTGGACTACATTCCACAGTTCTTTCTCTATTTCTTGGTTTTGCCTCAGAAACTGCATTTTTGATGTCACCCCACAAGTTTTCTATTGGATTAAGATCCGGGGATTGGGCTGGCCATCTCCAGAACGTCAATCTTGTTGGTCTGGGAACCAGATGTCGCACGTTTTAACTGGTGTGTTTGGGGTCTTTGTCTTGTTGGAACACCCATTTCAATGGCATTTCCTCTTCAGCATAAAGGCAGCATGACCTCTTCAAGTATTCTGATGAATTCAAACTGATCCATGATCCCTGGTATGCGATAAATAGGCCCAACACCGTAGTATGAGAAACATCCCCATATCATGATGCTTGCGCAACCCATCCTTCACTGTCTTCACAGTGTACTGTGGCTTGAATTCAGTGTTTGGGGTCATCTGACAAAACTGTCTCCGCCACTAGACCACAAAAAGAACAATCTTACTTTCAACAGTCCACAAAAATGTTGCGCCATTTCTCTTTAGGCCAGTCAATGTGCTCTTTAGCAAATTGTAACCTCTTCAGCACGTCTTTTTTTTCAACAGTGGGACTTTGCGGGGGCTTCTTGCAAATAGCTTGGCTTCACATAGGCGTCTTCTAATTGTAACAGTACTCACAGGTAACTTTAGACCTTCTTGATCTTCCTGGAGCTGATTGTTGGTTGAGTCCTTACCATTTTGGCTATTCTTCTATCCATTTCGAATGGTAGTTTTTCACTTTCTTTCACGTCTTTCAGGTTTTTGGTTGCCATTTTAAAGCATTTGCGATCATTTTAGCTGAGCAGCCTATCATTTTCTGCACTTCTTTATATGTTTTTTCCCCTCTCCAATCAACTTTTAATCAAGGTATGCTGTTCTTCTGAACAATGTCTGGAACGACGACCCATTTTCCTCAGAATTTCAGAGAGAAATGCACTGTAACCAGCATGTAAACCATTTGCTGCCTTCCTTCCTTAAATAAGGGCAATAATTGCCACCTGTTTTTCAAAGAATGAATGACCTCTCTAAGAGAACTCCACACTGCTATTATTTTGAACATGCCCCTTTTCAATTAGTGATTCAATTACACAGAATCAGCAGCATGCATGTCATGACTGTTGGATTTTCTATTACTCTACTACACCTGCTAGTAAATTATTTGCCATGTAGAAATATCATTTCTACCAAAAAACAGTGATTGATCAGGTTAGTGATGTCTGACTGCTATTATTTTGAACACAACTGTGTATATATATATATATATATATATACAGTTGCAAGAAAAAGTATGTGAACCCCTTGGGATTACGTGGAGTTTTGCACGAATTGGGCATAAAATGTGCTCTGAACGTCATCTAAGTCACAACAATAGAAGAACACAGTCTGCTGAACATAATACTACACAAAACATTAGATGTTGCCATGGTTTAATTGCACATAACATGTAAACATTCACAGTGCAGGGAGGAAAAAGTATGTGAACCTTTGGACTTAATAACTGGTTGACCCTCCTTTGGCAGCAATAACCTCAACCAAACATTTCCTGTAGTTGCAGATCAGACCTGCACAACGATCTGGAGTCATTTTGGACCACTCCTCTTCACAAAACTGTTTCAGTGTAGCAATATTCTTGGGATGTCTGGTGTGAATCGCTCTCTTAAGGTCATGCCACAGCATTTCAATCGGGTTGAGGTCAGGACTCTGATTGGGCCACTCCAGAAGGCGTATTCTGTGCTGTTGCAGCCATTGTTTTGTTGAATTACTTGTATGCTTTGGGTCATTGTCCTGTTGCATCACCCATCCTCTGAGGAGCTTCAGTTGGCGGACAGATGGTTGTACGTTTTCCTGCAAAATGTCTTGATAAACTCTGGAATTCATTTTCCCATCAATGACAACAATCCGTCGTCCAGGCCCTGAGGCAGCAAAGCAGCCCCAAACCATGATGCTCCCTCCACCATGTTTTACAGTGGGGATGAGGTTTTGATGTTGGTGTGCTGTGCCTTTTTTTCTCCACACATAGTGTTGTGTGTTCTTCTCAAACAACTCAATCTTGGTTTCATCTGTCCACAGTATATTTTGCCAGTAGTGCTGTGGAACATCCAGGTGCTCTTTTGCAAACTTCAAACGTGCTGCAATATTCTTTTTGGACAGCAATGGCTTCCTCCGTGGTGTCCTCCCATGTACTCCATTCTTGTTTAATGTTTTCCTTATTGTAGATGTGTCAACAAAAATGTTAGCATGTGCCAGAGATTTCTGTAGGTCTTTAGCTGACACTCTAGGATTCTTCTTTACCTCATGCAGCATTCTGCGCTGTGCTCTTGCAGTCATTTTTACAGGACGACCACGCCTAGGGAGAGTAGCAACAGTGCTAAACTTTCTCCATTTGTAGACAATCTGTCTTACCGTGGACACATGAACATCAAGGCTTTTGGAGATACTTTTGTAACCCTTTCCAGCTTCATGCAAGTCAACAATTCTTGATTGTAGGTCTTCTGAGAGCTCTTTTCTGCGAGGCATGGTTCACATCAGACAGTGCTTCTTGAAACCAGTAAACCCAAAACAGGTGTGTGTTTTTTAAGGGCAGGACAGCTGTCAGCAACACATCCAATATCATCACACTGATTGGAGTCAAGGTTGGCTCACTCCTGGCTCCAATTAGCCCTGGGAGAAGTCATTAAGCTAGGGCCTCACATACTTTTTCCTCCCTGCACTGTGAATGTTTACATGTTATGTGCAATTAAACCATGGCAACATCTAATGTTTGTATAGTATTATGTTCAGCAGACTGTGTTCTTCTATTGTTGTGACTTAGCTGACGTTCAGAGCACATTTTATGCCAAATTCATGCAAAACTCCACGTAATCCCAAGGGGTTCACATACTTTTTCTTGCAACTGTATATATATAATTATTTTATATTTATTTTTTTTAATTGTCTTTTAAAACTTTCTAGCAAAGTGTTACTATTCTGGGCACAGAAGTTATCATGACTGTCAGAATTAAATATCTGCATCCCTATGTCCTTTACACCTGGAAATACACTCAGAAAGAAGCTTATATATACAAAAGATCCAACATCTAAACACAAACAAAATCACTTTAGATGCAGTGCAGTGCAGTGAAGAATACAAAGACTTGTACAATGGGGAGGAAAAACAACCACTCAGCAAATGAATGGTCCAAAATAGGAGGGGTTAGGGTTCACACCTTCAGTCATTGAGCAATGAACACTTACCCACACTTCTTAACACCAAGGATGAGATTATGTAGCTAAAACAGAGTGATTCCACAACTTTGTCTCATCCCATCTTGTTCTTGGTCAATCAACATCTGCACATCCCATTCTGATTGGATTGTGTCTGTGCAACTTGTGTGAATATCAATGCTAGTGAATCTTCCTGACACTCAATGGAACTGAAGAAGTTGCTTGGAGAAGTTTTGAAACATCTTCAACATTATAGAACAAGTCCTGCTTAATGTGACTAACTACTACTAGATATACCATTACTTGAATAAATGAAATGCTTCACTGATGTCTGCCCTGCAAATTCAAAGAATGGCCCTCATATTTTGTGAGACATGTGGGCTAAGGTGCACTGGCAGTCCATTCAAAATGAATGGGCTGCCTTAACGCAGTATGTCTTGAACTCATAGCATAAATTGGTCTTAAAGCTGGTCATAGATGAGTAAGGATTTGTTTTGTTCAGACAGCGGGTTGAATGAAAAAAACTGACTTAATTTGATGTGGATGGGGGAATCTTTCCTGCTGTGTCTTTGTATTCTGACAGTGGGAAGACTTCCCTGCCATCAAAATACACTGATCAGCACTGCAGTGTATATAGCCTGCAGTGCTGATCGAGTGGAAGTTTTCCAAAGGGGTACTTCATCAGATCATAAGATCGATTTCTGTTTAACCACAGTGGCCATACATAGATCAAAATTCAGATCATCTGCTTCTGAATTGACAAAATAGGTTATGAAATGTCAGGGAGGCAAAATTCACTGCAAAAGGTATATATAACAGTGCATGTAGAATCAAGTGCTGTTTTGCTTAACCTAATCTCCCAACTTTCTGAGATTACACCTTTTAGCACAGCTTATGTAGGCAAAGGATACAGCCTGACACTCTCCCCATTACCCTTACCACCAAAAATTATTTCACAAACAATTATTGATTAACCACTAGCCTACAGGGTACTTATACCCCCTTCCTTCCCAGGCCAATTTCCAGCTTTCAGCGCTGTTGCACTTTAAATGACAATTGCACAATCATGCAACACTGTACCCATATGAAATTTTTATAATTTTTTTGTGACAGATAGAGCTTTATTTTGGTGGTATTTAATCACCTCTGGGTTTTTTCTTTTTTCTTAAACAAACCAAAAACCACTGAAAATTTTTTTAAAAAAAGTTTTTTCTTAGTTTTTGTTATAACATTTTTCAAATAAGTGATTTTTCTCCTTCACTGATGTGCGCTAATGAAGCTGCAGTGATGGGCTCTGATAGGCTGCACTGATGGACACTGATAGGTGGCACTGATGAGGAGGCACTGGTAGGTGGCACTGATGGGCATTGACAGGCATCACTGATGGGCACTGAAAGGCAGCACTTATATATGGCACTGATAGGCGGCACTGACTGGCACTGATAGGTGGCACTGACTGGCACTGTTAGGTGGCACTGTTAGGCGGCACTGATAGGCACCACTGACAGACACTGATAGGTGGCACTGATGCACACTGATAGGCGGCACTGATTGGCAGCACTAATAGGTGGCACTGACTGGCATTGATAGGTGGCACTGATAGGTGGCACTGACTAGCATTGATAGGTGGCACTGACTGGCACTGATGGGTGGCACTGAAAGGCAGCACAGAAGGGCACTGATATGTGGCATTGATGTGGCACTGATGGGCACTGAAATGTGGCACTGATGGGCACTGGCAGGTGGCATGTATGAGAACTGAGAGCTGGCACTGGTGAACACTGACAGGTGGCACTGCTGGGGCTACACAGATCATCAGCGCACACTGATCATCAGTGCTTTGATGATCTGTGTACATGTCCCCTCTGAGGAATGCCGATTACCGGCTCTCCTCTCCTCACGAGCTGTCAGTGTGACAGCTCTTGGGGAGAGAAAATGCTGATAACCGGCATTTCCCTGTTTACATGTGATCAGCTGTGATTGGACACAGCTGATCACATGACCGAGCCGACATCTTCGGCTCTTTCTGTGGATCAGTGATCAGCTGTGTCTGAGGGACACAGCACACCACTGATCACCGTGCTGCTCACTCCGGGGCGCCATTTGATGTCCTTCTCGGATCGTACCTTGTGCCTGCAGGGCAGCGCTGTGGCGAGATTTGTCACCGGCTGTGTACCTCGGAAACAGCCGATGACAGATCTGTATACCAGCTCATTGCCAGTAACATGTGACCTGCTGTGACCAATCACAGCAGGTCACATGGCAGTTGTAAACAATGGATGGCTTCCTTTCATGCCATCCATTGTATACAAGTGTGTCTAGCTGTGAATGGTCACAGTGATCACATGCACAGGCTGGGCCAATCACAGCCCATCTGTGTCATGTGATTAGCCGTGGCCAACAAAAAAACCTGAAGGAATCAATTTAATTCAGTTAAATGCTTGCTTTGTAGCAAAGAAATTCTTTGTAATAAGCAATTAAATTGTGTAAAAAAAAAAAAAATACTGATCACTTCCCCAAAGTAGTACAATGTTACTATGGTAACATTATACTACTTTGGTCATACTGTAATATGAAAATAAAATCTTAAAAGAAGAGAAATATTTAATAAAAAAAAAAATAATAATAAAATTGAAAAAATTGAAAAAAGAATGATTAATTTTTTTTTTGCGTACTGTTACCAGTCAGTGTCCCTGATCAGCGCCACACCAGTTATATGATGACGCTGTACTGCGTGACAGTATGTAAAAAAAAATAGTGAAAATAAATTTTTACATTTCTTAATTTTCAAAAAAAAATATGAAAAAAAAATTACAACTTCAAAAAACTCGCCATGCCTCTTATGAAATACGTCGGACTATCTACTTTGCAAAAAGGGGTCATTTGGGGGATATCTGTACTGTTCTGACATTTTTGGGCCTCAAGAAATTAGATTGGCTGTCAGTACTTCAGGATTGATCAATTTTCAGATATATCCCATAGTTGGTGAACTCTATAACTTTCCTAAAGACTAAATAATGATATAGGTTATTTTCACCAAAGAAATGTAGCAGAATACATCTAGGACTAAATTTATGAAGAACAATTATTTATTTGCAAACTTTTATAACAGAAACAAGTGTTTTTTTAAAACATTTGGGGTATTTTTTTGTTAATTTAACAAAGAAAAAAAAACCCCACAAGTGATTAAATGCCACCAAAAGAAAGCTCTAGTTGTGCGAACAAAATGATTAAAATATAGTTTGGGTACAGTGTTTCATGACAGCGCAGGACCAGGGAGCAGAGGGCTTGAGTCAGAGGTGGTGGAACTCAGTTCCGCCAAATTCCAGCTGAAAAAAGCCCTGTAACTAATGCCATAGTGTAGAGGTTAGATAAAGATTTAGCTAGTAGTAATCACATTTAAGTGGACTTTTTCTGTAATGTTGAAGTTATTTCAAAGCTTCTCAAAGCCACTTCTTAAGTTCCTACCAAACATCTTTAACATGACAGAACAAGTTCAATATAATGCGACTATTTTTTTTTAGTGGCCAGAAAAAAAAGAAAAACACCTGAGAAGGAAGGAATGACAGAGGGATTTGGTCCCTCCAAATCAGAGACAATTAGGAACTATAGCTTATCCTGCAGTTCCAATGTTGATCTTTCACACTATAGTTCCTGTAAAAGTTCACCACATTAATATGCTGAATAAATTAAAATAAGGTATTGTGTCTCTAAAGCAACACTTATGCCATGGAATGATATCCTACTCTTGCTAACGAAAACCTTCATACACAAAAGTAGCAGCATGAACTGTTATGAGAGTGGTCCCAAGAACTGTAAAGCTCCATGTACACTGCAGCTGATAAACTCACGTTTAGGAGCTTTTCTGTGTTTTTTTCAGCAGCCCCTGAACTCTCCCTAATGTTTTCCTATGTGTCCATGTACAGGCAGTTGAGTATACAGTCGCTTTTTTGAACGCACCTAACTTGCGTTCAGGAGTAGATTTTATCAGCTTTTCAAATGCCAAAACTGCTTGTAAACGCGGCTAATAGCGTTTATAAGCGTTTGCATTCGGAACATTTTTTTAACTCTTAGATTTCCAGATGCTGTCCAGAGCCTTATTTCATCATGAAAAATGCATGCAAAGCGTTTTCCCGGTACTCAAATGCACCTGGTACACCATACTTTGAGGTTTTGCATAAAAGAAAATATGTTAGATACTGCTGCAATAATGTCTGCACAGAAATTAACTGGACACATCCAAACACCACAAAAATAAAAAAGACAGCTAATCTCAACAAATACTGCTCTCTCTGCTTCTATTCTCTCTATTTCTCTCAAATAGTTAATAATTTACCATTTTCCAGTGCATTCTGGGCATTTGGGAGGTTCTCCTGTGCTTATCTTTAAAAAACGCTTCTGAACGCAAACGCTCATAAACGCGGTTAAACGCCCATAAACGCGGTATACAAACACGGCAAAACTGATGTTTTTTAACCTGCGTTTTCCTGCTGTCAATTTCCAGCATTCAGAAGAGTTCTTCAAACGCACCGTGTACATGGAGCCTTAGATGGGAGAGCTTTGGTTTACATACTACAGATGAATTAGCACAAAGCCTTTCATCTTTTCAGGACCTGAAGCCACTAGCAAGTAAAAGGAAAAAAAAATTCCCCCAATGATTTTGGAGCAGAATGCACTTTTATATACTAACATTCTGATGTCTTTCTTCTTCTCTTACTCACATTATTAAAAATAAATTAGTTAGCAATCCTATCTTTGTAATGGACCAGTCCATCAAAGTGTCCAAGAGTTTTTAGTTACATATAGAACCTGGCTTCCTTTGTTTTTGTCTAGAGTACTCCAACAGTGAAAGTTGCCTGCCATACTTCTTAACTCTGTTATTGTATATCTTGAAGTTTTGGGTTTTCCTGCTGGTTTTTGTTTGTGCCAGCTCCAGCAGTTGCTATCTCCATGCTAACTAAAAAATACAACAGGCATAGAGGGACCCCCTCATAATGGTTTCTGCAGGTATGGAGACCCAGGAACTCAAGAACAGTGATCTCACAGAGTCCCCAAGAGAAATATAAAACTGTGTGGCTTAAAGTTTATCTGATGCCTTTTTTTGGATGAAAGGCTAAAGGAATTGAACCCGTCAGGTTTTTTTTATGGCTGTCTGTGTCCCCAGAAACACCCTTTTAGTTTGTCCTGGTGGCCACTCTTACACCTGTATCTCATCTGGTCTGTGCTGCTTGTGGATAATTAACCTCTTCCATACAGGGCACTTTTACCCCCTTCCTGCCCAGGCCATTTTTCAGGTTTCAGCGCTCTCACACTTTGAATGACAATTGCGCGGTCATACAACACTGTACCCAAACTAAAATTGTATCATTTTCTTCACACAACTAGAGCTTTCTTTTGGGGGTATTTATTCAACACTGGGGTTTTTATTTTTTGCAAAATTAACAAAAAAAGACCGAAAATTTTGAAAATAAAACACGTTTTTCTATGTTTCTGTTATTAAAGTTAGCAAATAAATAATTCTTCTTCATAAATTTAGGCCAAGATGTATTCTACTACATTTCTTTGGTAAAAAATAACCCAAATTAGGATGTATTATTTAGTTTGTAGGAAAATGATAGAGTTCACAAATTATGGTATATATCTGAAAATTGATCAATCCTGAAGTACTGATGGCCAATCTAAATTCGTGAGGTCCAAGAATGTGAGAACAGTACAGATATCCCCCAAATGACCACTTTTTGCAAAGTAGACAGTCCGACGTATTTCATAAGAGGCATGGTGAGTTTTTTGAAGTTGTAATTATTTTTGTCATAATTTTTTGGAAAATGAAAAAATTTAATAAATAATTTTCCCTATTTTATTTTTACATACTGTCACCAGTGCAGTACAGCATCATCATATAACTGGCATGGCGGTGATCAGGGACACTCACTGGTGACAATACAAAAAAAAAAACTTGATAATTTTGTTTTATTTTTTTTTTTTTCATTAGTTTTAATTTTTTATTACATTTTTTTCTCTTTTTTTAAGATTTTCTTTTCATATTTCACTAAGTAAAAGTGATCAATATTTTTTTTTTTTTTTTACACAAATTGCTTATAGCAAAGAATTACTTTGCTATAAGCAAGCATTTACCTGAATGACATCAATTCATTCAGGGTTTTTTTTTTGTGCTTAGCTGTGATTTGGCTAATCACATGACACAGAATGAGCTGTGATTGGCCCAGCTTGTGCATGTGATCGCTGTGACCATTCACAGCTAGACACACTTGTATACAATGGATGGCATGAAAGGAAGCCATCCATTGTATACAACTGTCATGTGACCTGCTGTGATTGGTCACAGCAGGTCACATGGTACTGGCAACCGGGCGGTACACAGATCTGTCATCGGCCATGTCCGAGGTACACGGCTGGTGACAGATTGCGCCACAGAGCGGCTCTGCGGGCAGGCGCACTGCGCATGCCCGAATAGATGCCATATGGTGTCCACCCGGAGGGATGAGCTGTTTTCCCAGCCGCCATCTGGCTATAGGCCGGGCGGAAACTGGTTAAAGAGACCCTGTCACCAGATAATTTATTTCAACAAAGATATTCCTTTAGGATTGTACATGCATTTAATATATCTATGCAGGTTGTTTAGATGTAGGAGCTTCCATTGTGTAGACATCCAAAAGCTTTGAGAATGCAGCTGAGAGCTAGCATCTTGATAGTGGCTGCAAGCATCCCCAGCAGACTCAGAGCTGTCACCCAAGTGACAGCCTTTAGTATTGTGTTACACTCCTGCACCGGTAGCTTGGATATGTAGGAAGGTGAGGGAGGGATGGATTACCCAGGCATGCAATGAGAGTAATTAGACACACCCAGAAGAGGAAAGGGCAATGATGTTCAATGAAGGGGGAAAGCTGTGCTAGGGAAGTGACTAGTCAAATTATCTTGCAAGATCAAAGGCACATTGCAAGTGAATACAACATAATTTATGGAAAGGAAAAGAACTGCACTTAAACATGAAAAAAAAAACTATTTTTTTCCGTGCTTTTACCTGCAATTGTTTGTATGATAGGGTTATAGGGT